GTCATTTGTAAGCATTTGGAATGAACAACTAAAGGATAGTATGGTAATTTGGTTTATTGTTAAAGACCCTTAAAGTCATATGCTAGGTAACAATGATTCTTACATTAATTCTGCTTTCCGCATCACTCCCCTTGCGAAGATCAGCTAACAATGATATTGAACCATTTATCATTTACTCGCTCTTATTTAATCCTATCATCAGTTTTTGAGGATAAAGGCTGGTTATGTTCTCTTTATATGCTGCTATAGTTAATGAAACTATGGGTTGGTCACTTAGTCTAATAATCAACTGGATCTTCCTCAATATGAATATACTGGGAGTGATAGCAAAACTAGGGAAACCCTTGCCTCTTTGAAGCTATTAAACCCAACATTCTTTTCGTATGCTTGGTTGTAGTGTAAGGTAGGATAATAAGAGGTATATTTTTAGTCGGTAATTGATGATGGTTGCATGCAAATGCTTTAAGCATTTCAAGAGGCTCTGTTTTTCTCCCAAGAATCAAAAAGTTAAAATATGTCATGCAATCAACACGAGTCTCACCTTCCATTTCCTCTTCTTATATTATAATCAATCTTCTCTACTCACTTCTACCAACTTCCTGTGAACACAATTTGTTTCCAACTGAATTAAAGTGATTTGCTCATGTTACCTCGCAGCCTTGTTTATTAAATTATACTGATTTGCTAGGGGGGTCTGGAAGGAGTCAGTACGAAAGGTCAGAGTTATGGATTAGGGTCTTTGGAACATGAAGGTAGAACGTGATGTAATCTATAATATTGACGGGTGAGTGAAATGCTGCTTTCAGTGATCATCTGAAGGAAAAGAACTGGATCAAGTAAATTTATTGTAGCATCTTTGCCGATATGAATTTTTATATAATCAAGTATAGCAATAAATTAACACTTGAAAGTTGGGGGTATTCTATAATTTTCCAAGCATAGAGTAAGGGTATTCCAGTTAAAAGGACTTTTTTCTACAATTTTTTTGGTGATGTGATAAATGTAGGGGGAGATTTGTACTTGCGATCCTAGAGTGCGTTTAGTCTTGTTTTCAAAAGTGAATTCGAGCGCCTATGCTGAGTATGGATTGACTCTTGTCCTGTTATGCAAGTATTCAAGTGGTGAAATATTAAAAAAAAAAAAAATGAACGGATGCGAATGCTTATGGTGATTTTGAGGAATTTTAATTTAACGTTGGCTCTTATGATGGTATTATGAAATGCAAGGGTTTTAATTCTTCACAGAGAATGTCACCGAAGGGAGGTATTCAATTCTATGGTGTCCGGTGTTGGTGATTGGGAGTGTTAGGAGCTTGTTGTGGTGCAAGCAATATAATAAAAGCCAAAGGTTAACTAAAGCATTGGGGAGCCTGCTTGCACCTAGACATGCCTTGGTGCACTTCATGAATGTGAGGCACACTTAATAATTATTAGAAATGATGGATAAAGTAGTAGAGAGATTAAGTTAAAAGTTGGGAGGGTGTAAGTAAGAGCTGAAATAGGTAAGAGATTGAAAAGATGTAAATATTGTTGTGGGGTAGGGAGGGTAAGATTGTAAAATGTGTTTGCCAAACTTAGAATAAAGGAGAAGTAAGCATTTTTTTTTTTTTTATAAAAAAAAGTGGGTATATAATATATACTTGTATATATGTTCCAGACTATTTTTTTCATTTATGATTTTTCTTCAAATCTGATGGTCCTTCAGCTATATTTGCCTGGAAGATTATTAGTTTGTTTATATATGTTAGATCTGACTCATTATTGACATGCATATTTGTAGATTTACAACCATCGTGGAATGCGAAGCGAAGTGGCTCTGAGAAGACTCATGTGTCTTCATTAACAGCAACAACTTCAGATGTCAACACGAAACCTGTAGAGAAAACCAGTTCTAGTGAGCTCATAGAAGATAGCTCTGGCAAAGGACATGTGCTTACTGAACCTACAAATTCTCGAGGACGGCCAGGCAGTTCTGCATCGTCTACTTCGGAGACAGGAGCTGCTACCACAGCTCCAAGTGGTCCCGCCCTATCACCTAGCTCATCTATGGGTTCATTATCTTCTGAAAAGTCAACATTGAATCCTAATGCAAAGGTTTCTGTACATTCTTCATATATTAAAATTGATTTTCTGTATACAATTTTTTGGGTGCATGATCTGTATCTTGTTTTTATGTCTGCCTAAATATGCTTTCATGCTTTGTGTGGATCACATTTTCTGTCTACAAAAATTACCTATGCTTTACATTGGTCAAATTCATGCAATGATGCATTTTTTTTTTGTTTTTTTTTTTACTTGTTTTACTTGCAGGAATTCAAATTTAACCCCAATGCGAAATGTTTTGTTCCAACACAAAGTCCTTTAAGGCCACCTTCCCCGGTTAATGATGCTTCATTCTATTTTCCATCCACAATGCCTACAGTGCCTCATATGCATGGCATGCCAGTTGGTATGGGGGTGAGTAATTGATTAAATGCTTAATGGAAAGTATCCCATGATTTTTTTTTTTTTTTTTTTTTTTTTTTTTTTGGTTTATACCTTATCCGCTGTCATAATTTTTCACAATATTAGATGTGATGGGCTCTGTTTAGTGGGTAAAGGAGTTAAAAATTATACAATTGTCAAATCATATACCTTTAAGAGAGAGGTTGGGTGGAAGGTTTTAATCATTTTTTTTTATTAGGAACTTAAGCTTAAAAAGAACATGAGGTGGGTATTTTGAATAAACCCAAAATGCAAAATGGGTCAGTATTTTGAAAAAAAGGTAGTAGTAGTGTTTGGCGAGAGTATATTTAGGTGGTATCTTCCTTTCCTAATTGGATACGAAATGAAATACAAGGTTGAATTTTATCCCCCCCTCCCTCCCCTCTCTTTTCCGGTCTGCATAATAATGAGGTGGAATGAATGCTATATTCTCTTTTTAAAAGATAGCTGGTGGTCCAACTTTTGTTGTTTGGATAGTCTGCAAGTATGAAAGTCGATTAAGTTTGGGAATGGTGATTAAGGAATGAGCACTTGAAGCCAAACTTGATCCTCTTTTGTCCAAACAATGCGCCTCAAGTTTGGCCAATAATTTAGGTACAAGTAAGGGATGTGAGAAGAAAAATAATAATAGTGAGAAGAGTGGGGACCGTGTGAGTATTGCCATATAAGGATTTAAGGAAATGTTGCTTTAAAAAATCGGCTGATTATAAGAAGTGTTGCATTTACAAAAACACAGAAGGAGTAAAATAATCTTTTACTCCTTGCCTCTGCCTACTGCACCTGTGGGATAGTGTAATGAGGTTGTGTATCTAGTGAGGAAATGATTGATGTGAGACTATTAATCGTTAGAAAATGAAACACAGAGGGAGTAAAATAATCTTTTACTGCTTGCCCCTGCCTACTGCACCTGTGGGATAGTGTAATGAGGTTGTGTATCTAGTGAGGAAATGATTGATGTGAGACTATTAATCATTAGAAAATGAGGTGAGGCCCCACGGTATTTTAAGTAGCCCATTAGCCTGATGGTAATGATTTTTATTGCTAGGCTACTTTATATCAGTAATGAGAATCAATTCAAGAATTTACTTTGGAGTATAATTTTATCATAACGAGCTTTTACATGAGACATGTCTTGTATAGTTGCACATAAATTTCTGCAACGTTCAACTTAACTATGGCCATGCATTGGATTACCTACCGTAATTGACCATAGCTGAAAGAAGCTACAAAAGTATCTTCTCTGATTTTTTTATTGTTAGATAAGGTTATGGATTCCTTCAGTAATACTTTATGTGTTGCACTCTTGCAGATGCAACAAGATTTACAGCTGCCTTGATCAGAGCCCTAATCGCTTTTATTTTTTCGATATTCTGACAGGTTGGGCCATCCTTTGTTGGGCCTCAGCCAATGCTTTTTAATCCTCAGGCTGCAGGGATGCAATCACCACAGGCATATTTTCCTGCAAATGGCCCTCAGGTGAGATTTTTACTACATACCTGCTAAATAGCAATCATGTGTAAATTCCTTGTGTAGGAGACTTGATGAATTTCTGATTTCTCCTAACCATCTGCAGTATGGACAACAGATGATTCTTGGCCATCCCAGGCAAGTCATGTACATGCCAGGCTACCCTGCGGTAAGTTAATGGCTTTTTTTAGATGATTGTGTTATCATTAGATAAAAAAAAAATGTCCCCATTTGTCAGTCAGTCCGATTCACTGTCTTGGCTTGTGGATGGTGAGATTTTCCTCCTTTTGTAGTTGGCATCAAATAAGCTCAATTCTACATATTTAATGATGTCATTTTTCTCCATAGGAAATGCCATACAAAGGACGGGAATATTAGACACTTTGAGTCCAACTGCATCTTCAGTGGGGCATTGCATTGTTTAGAACAAAATAACAGATTCAAGAAGAAAATTTCCGCAAATGCTTCTCATGTACCAATTCTCCAGTGGAGACCAGGTTATTGGCGGAAGATACTGTGTTTCTGGTAGTAGCACTGGTCATGCCTTGTATCACCATGTTCCATTAAACATATACCCCTCTTAGACAGCTTGTGCTCAGATCACCGTCATAGTTTTCTTTTAGGACGTATTCAGTATAATCAAATTGTTCATTTCCTACCATATTGTTCATCTTTAATCTGCATATTTAATGCTAATTTAGAAATAGATAGGTACTTCATGTTGTGTGGACTTAATAACTTTTGTACTCGAGCTATTTGATCGAGTGTGATAAATTTATAGGACTTGTCACTCATGTTTGTCTCCTAATTGTGACAAGTTGTACACGATTGGCTACAATTTTGTTCTCATTTTGTTGTTGTTGCAGTAGTGATATAGAATAGCACTTGATAGCTCAGTGGTCATAAAATTATGTGATTTTCAATAATTACCCTCTATTTTCCAAACCTCTTATTTTCATTCTGTTTCGAGTTTTTTCCTTTTTTTATTTCCTTTGATCTTTGTAAAGTCATTTTTAAACATGTTTTCCCTTGCGGAAAGAATACTTACCGGTCTGTCAAAGATTCAATTTTATAGTTTATCTTGAACTTGTGGATCAGTGACCATGAGGTTACTTGGCAGCTGTGTTGAACATCGGGCCAGTGATGTTTGTTTGTGCTTTGGTCATAGCAGCTGTTTTGATGGGGTGTAGCTGAGAGGAGGATTATGTCTGTCGAAGGTTTTGGAAGTCGGTTTTGGAATGAAGTTGAGAGAGGGAATACCGGAATATGGTGGTTGAAGGTGCTTGGAATAGAATATAGAATACAGGGTCACTCGTTACACACAATTGCACATCTTATAACTTTCAATAGCTAAAAGTATAAATAGTGGTCATACAAGATAACAAGCTATATTAATATACAGATCTCCTCTTAGCATTCTTCTACTTATTTCCTGCTGGATTTTCACACCGCAGAAGAATTATTTTCAGAGTTTAAGCTGTTAGATGAAGACGGTATCTGTAAACTGTTTTCATCCTCGCATTCTGAGACAGAGAAAGGGATCACTTCCCTGTTGTGATTAATCTCCTCTGCTTCCTGTAAACAAACTAGGCTCTCCTTGTATGGAAGAACTTGCAATACATTAATAAACCCGCGAGCTTGAAGATCTTTCATGTCTTGTGTAATGGGATTGTAGGAAACTAGATTTCTTTCAGCATGTTCCAAAAGAAGCTCACCGTTCTTCCAAAGCCCCAAGGGTGCTGCTACCCCCACTACGGGTCCTATAGTTAGTTGCTTCATCCAAGACTCTCTAACACCATACTCGCCCAAAACCCACACATCGAAACTTTTACTTACTCCTGCAAGAGGGTAATCATGAATGAAAGCTAGGTTGTTCTTTAAGGATGCCAAACACCCATGTACTCTCTTTGAAGGGATGCCATTATAATAGGGGAGTTGGGTCTTTGTGAAAACCTCGTTCTTCATATTGAACGAGAAAATCACTTTCTGTACATGGTTATCAATCTCAAACCAGCTGAAAATACCATCTATTGAGGGGCTTGAAGACGAGCAAGGTAGATTCCCAGTTGGCTGAAATTCCTCCCCAACATCAATCTCCTTCCACTTGTTGGTGCTCAATGTGTATAGCTCCGCGTGAGCTATAGTTGAAGACGAGGGCAAACACATGTGCTTGAATGCTAAAACCTTGTACTCATTCCTTTCATCATCAAACCCAAAACCAACACACAAGTCGAAAGTGTATGCATCAAGAGGAGGCTTAACATATGACCTCGGAAGGTTTTTCAGCTGTCGGTTAGCAGGATTCCATAGTGATATTGCACCATCTTTAGCATCAAAGACACAAAAGATCCCATTACAAGGTCCTAAAATATGTGCAAAACTACGGTTTTCTTCATTTGAGCTAGGAAAAGATAGTTGAAAATGCTTATTTTTGATGTCAAATGTCTCAGAAGAGATCAATGAAAGTAGTTGCCTCTTTGCTGGTTTAACATGGCTAATTAGAAGAAGCTCATGATTGTTTGAGCTTACAAAGTGCTTGAGCATGAAGCGCGAATCAATAATATGAGCATACCATGATTTCGATACACATTTGAATCGTTGCAGGGACTTAACAGGCAGCCTTAGTAGGATCTCTGAAATCAAGTCTTCTGGTAATGTAACAAGGATTGACATCTTCAATTTTCTCTTGCTTGTCTTTGTTGTTGGTGATTTTGTTTGCTTGATTGTTGTGTCTTTTAACTGTAAATTTATGGAAGTTGTCAATGAGAAAAAAAGTAGGATTTGAAAGGTTCTATAAATCATTAAGCAAGCTTTTAATTTGTTGACAAAAGGAAAAGTTGATTAGAAATGTCATTTTCAAATACTTGTTCAACCACCATATCTTAACAAGTAGAAAAATATTTGTGCATTTTCGTCCACAATCAAGACCACAACTTAAACCATATAAATATAAACCATATTTAGATATTTTTTTAGGTTATTTGTCAGGGCGTTTTTACCATTTTAGAGGTATTTTACCAGTTTTACAGTTCCGTCTTAAGAAAAAAGAAGATAAAAAACCCATTATAATAAAAGTACTCTAGCAAGTATGCAGGTGAGAATATTTTGCAATTTTATTTTATTATTGATTTATTTTTTTGTATATTTTTTTTAAAAAAAAAATTTAGGCAATCAAGCAATGCATGTTGTCCATTATCTTGGTATATTAATGCCTTTTAAAACAAAACAAATATTAATGGGGAGGATAATTACGCAAACATAACTTGTACAATTATTTCAAAATTCATAATGCTTTTCATGATGCGTGACTTCATTGGTTCTTTTTAACTTGAAGATGACACATGAGTACATGACATACATGCAATCAATTACTTATGGCTTAAATAATAAAAACAGGACGATTTGAAAATTAATTATAATGTTGTACAAACTGAATTGAATACAATAGTCAGTTGGAAGTAATTGATAAATAGGGAGAAGGTAGGAGGAATAATATCTGGGAGTTAAGACAACTTTAAAAGGTTTGGGTTGCAAAATTCCAATTCTGCAAGGAAAGTATTGAGGTGATCTTCTTGTAATACCCTAACTCTTTCTTCTGATTAAAAAAAATAACTAGTTTTTGATTTCGGACAATGCTCAAGTCATTACATAAAAGTAGCCAATGTATGTGTACTTCATGATTACTCAATCTTTTGTTGATTAATTAAATTCTATTTTTCGTATTTTATTCACTAAATTTTGGACCTTTCTTTGCAAAATAGACAAAATAATATGACATAACTTACTATAAGTATATAAAATATTTGCAATATATACAAACAAGAAAAGAAAATGAAAGAAAAGAAAAGAGGAGATGATTGATCAATGCATATATGTTTAAGATTCAAGAAAGATTAATCTTCTCTAAATTATCTTCATTTGATTTTAATATAAATCAAATCAAATAATTAAATGAGTACAACTTTATAATTCCTTTAGGGAGCCTATTTTCAGACTCAGGAAACAAAAACTACATATATAGGAGAAAATTCTCATGCAATAAAGAAAGCTAAAAAACATACCTAGTCCATATTTTTTTTATTTGCCATTTTTGGGCTTAATTAACTACAAATGAAACAAAAGAGTGTATATGGACTAATTTTAGAGCCAAAATCCAAAACCCATATTAGAAATTTAATTCTTTGGATTGGCAGGCGACGCGTTGCTGATGGGTGCATTGTCTGGGGTGGTGCTTGGTGTATTGCTTGGGGTGGTGGTGGTGTCGGTCGTGGTGCCAGCAGTAGGGTTGCTGCCTGCTGCATCACTGGTGTTGTTTAATCCCAAAGTGCTCTTTACTGTTTCAGCTGCTCCTGTTGCAAGGCTCTTCACTTGCTCCCCTGTCTGTGTAATATAGATAATTCAGTTTTAATTAGCTCACAAATTATTTCCAACAAAGTTATATTAAAACATATATTGCCTAGTTATTTAGATCACTTTAACTCTTGAAGTTTAAAATGTAATAGAATATTTATTTATAGACAGAGGGATTGCAGCATGACATAAGAACATTTATTAATAAACGGAGGGAGTATGATATTTTTTTTTTTTTTTTGAAAACTCGGAATAAGATTATAAAAGACTTGCCTGTTGAAGAATCTGAGTGGCTTGTTGAGCAGTTCCTGATGCTGCACTGCTGACTTGGGCCATAACTCCTTCACTCTTCTCCTGAAATATATATCAGATCAAAATCAATAATTAAGGCCTCATGAAATAATAATAATAATAATAATAATAATAATAATGCAAATATACGTGAAATCGACGACTAAATGAGGCTAGATCAATTAATTAGAACAAATTTTATACCTGAGCTTGGGTAGCAGCCTCATTGGCTTTGTGGCTGATTTCTTGAGTTTGTTGGTTGCTTGCCATTTTGTTTGCAAAGTATGAGATTAGAAGAGATGTAGATGATTGTGAAACTTGAATTAATAAAGATATTTGATGTTTCTTACAATAATGTAAATTAGAGTTGTATTTATAGTGATAATTTAATATCTCAAAGCACCAATGAAACTATTTTTGGGGTGTTTACTGCATAATTTTCTCCAACAATTTGATGGTAATTAATGGTCTTTGTTGCGGTAAATGGGGTTTATTGTTATTTGTTAAGCCATCTTTTGACCATTTCACACAAAAGTGTAAGTATTCAACATTGTGCATTTGGGCTCGTTTCTTGGACAAATTATAATCATATACAGAGTATTTTTTTTTTAGATCAATTTTAATGATCATTACATTTTTTTTCTAGGAAAACAATTATGTGTATACTATCAACCACATTAACCTGTCTCAATTTTTTATTTTTTTTTATTTTTTAATTTTTTTTTATTTTAATTTTTTTTTTTTTATTATCCCTTTAATGCATTATTTTCAATCTATAATAACCTAACTTTAGTGTATGTACAACCATAGTATTCTAGAGCCATGTATCACCTGCAAGAAAAATAAGAAACCACAGTTCAAGAAATAAATTTAAAGATTCAGCCATGCCTCAAGTTAGACTATACCTTTTTCTGTTCAAGGAGTCAATAGATGAATTATCAAACTTATTTTCATTCTTTCAAAGAAGTACATGATATCTTTAGATTAATATAAATGATATCTTTTCCATTTAGAATGCAGAACATTATCCTGCATACAAAGAAGTACATGGCTAAAGAAATTAAATTTACCCAATCAAGGAGACAAAAGTGATCTTCACTAGGCTCAAATTTCATGTTGCTTCTTCCGGCCACGACTTCTAATACAACAACCCCAAAGCTGAACACATCAGCTTTAGGTGTCAAATAACCCCACAATGCATATTCTGGAGCCATGTATCCTCTGCAAACAAACAAAAAATCCTAGTTCAAAGAATGAATTCAAAGATTGCCTTGCCCCTTAATCAGAGTTAACCTCTCATCTTCATTGATTCATTGACCGATATATTACTATTATTTCCATATAATGATATCATCATTTCAAAATTACATAGTTTGCCATCCCAAGAAACAAAGTGCAGGAGACCAGATAATGGTTATACTATGAATTATAGAAAAAAGATCAACCATTTTATAATGTACATAAGATTTGAGTAATAGAAATTAATAATGAGTAAAAGTAAAAGTACTTTGGCTTTCATAGGTACGAGGTCCTATGAACTCTATGATAAAGACAATAGAGATTTAAAGACTTAGCTTACATTGTTCCAGCAATTCTAGTGCTAATGTGTGTAACCTCCTCTTCATTAAGCCTTGCCAACCCAAAGTCTGAGATTTTTGGGTTAAGGTTGCGATCAAGCAATACATTTGTAGCTTTGATGTCCCTATGAACAATTTTTATCCTTGATTCTTCATGTAAGAAAGCTAAACCTTTAGCTATCCCAATGCAAATCCTTATAGGCCAATCTAATTTTAACCGGCCATCATCTGGACCTTCATTTAGAAAATAACTAATAAGTTAAAATCTTCGTGGAAAGCTTTACAACTGACTCCACTTTGTACTCCTTGCAACGCAAACAGGATAAAGAGATAAACACAATATAACTCCTTACCAAACAAAGCATGTCCAAGGTCCTTGTTCACCAAGTATTCATACACCAGGAAAAGTTGGCTTGTATCGACACAACATCCATACAATCTCACAAGATTTGGATGGCACATACTTGAAATCATGCCAATTTCATTCACAAATTCTCGATTTCCTTGGGAAGATTTGGCTGAAAGTTGTTTCACAGCAATATGGGTACCATTTAACAGGGTTCCCTACATAAGAGTTGGTATAAGTTTTTGTGCTTTTCACTCCCCAAGTTGTCCATGACTTATAAGTTGAATAATTACACACCAACACTGTGATTCATTAAGAAAAAACAAAGTACTTAGTAACATACCTTGTACACAGATCCAAACCCACCTTCTCCTAGCTTATTAGCAGTATTAAAGTTGTTACAGGCAGCCTTGATTTGCTTATAAGTGAAAAGACCAATTTGTGGATTCAGTACACGGAGCTCTGAGCACAAATCAATAGTATTCAGAAAGGTACAATTCTACAAGTAATTAAATTAAATAGGAAGTAAAGTAAGTGGTACATTGATAATATAAAATTTAGAACAATCACTATCTTTTTTTTGCTCATGTTGTGGATTATCTGCAACTTGCAGCGCTTTATTTTCTTATATGCTCAAGATCATTTTTCATGCCCCTGTCTACGTGATTAAAGATAGAAGATTTGAAAGTATAAAAGATGTGGATGGTCATTTAAGGCATATTAAGCAGTAAAATTAATTTGTTCATCAGTTGAATTCTAATAAACATGTTAATGTAGCGATAAGTTAGAAACACTTGCAACTAAAAGTCTGTAACATCTCACATAAGCAAAATGTTCCTATATCACAGGTAGCACAGCACACACTGACCTTGTTCCCTTGATTTTATAATTTCCTTACGGCGTTTCCACCAAAAAGCAACTAGTGCAATTCCAATGAGGAACGATGTAGCTGCTACTAGAGCCCACATGACTATTTTCCAGTCAAAAGGAGGGTTGAACTCTGCCCAAAGAAAAAATTAACACTTACTAATTGAACCTTTAAAAAATAAAAAAACCTTATTTCTAGACGATTAGGTTGATACACAAACAAATTTAACCACTCTATCAACGTCGTGCCCCAATTTTAAAAAATTAGGAAACTTATGGCAGAAGATGTACTTGCTAATTTTACAGTTCATTTGATCAATGGTAATGATGCAATAATGAATTTATTTCATGAGTACAAAGCAATAGGATTAAACGTTTCCTTAAAAAATGACTTAAAATGAGCACAAAATTTCTATATGATGCTTGACTTACGCGACTCTACTGAAATAGCTGAAATAAGAGGTCCATAATGTCCTTTTACTGGAATTTGTGTGCTCCCTTTTCCAGCATAGTAGAAGCGAATTTCTATTGTAGAATTTGTTACTGATATGTTACTGAAAACTTTCTTGAAAGCCTTATGTGTTCCATTAGCTTCCTTTACAATATCAAAATCCTTGAAATACAGCTTTTCCTGCACAAAGTAGTCCAACTCTTTAAATGCAATATTCTAAAAATTCCAGCAATTTCATAGTACTGAGGTAAAAAGACAGTAATAAACAACCTGGATATAAATATCAAACACTCGCCTTCCTATACTCATGTATGTATCACCATCTGTAAAGATGATTTCAGAAAAGTGAAGGGTCACACTGTAGTTCCCGTTTGCCAGGCAACGGCCACAGTAAGTTAAAGACGTAGCAGAGAGTCGTGCATCTTTATACAGCCCTTCATCGCTCTTTCCTATTATCTTTGAAGTACTTTGCCATATATAATGATTTGTATCAGCTTTCCAGAATTCTCCACTACTACTGAATCCCCAGTCAGGCTTTTCATGAAAAAATGTTGCAGCACCACTTTTCTCATGATCTTGCAGGTAGGTGATCTTTCCTATTCTGGTTTCTGGTCCTCCACAGTTAATATGCAATGTATACCGTTCTACAAGTACAACAATACATCAAAATGAAACCTTAACCATAATCTTTGACTAATATATGATAACATTATTTTGAAAGTAATATAAAATTTAGCATCATTGATCTTGAAATATAAATTTGAGTATCATCATCATACTAGTATATTATTTTTAAAACTAAGGATATTTGCAGTTTAACATTAGCTTAAGAGCCTGATAAGCAGGAGGCACTAATAGGCAGTATAGATTAAGACTGATGAAGAAGCCGGTACAATAAACTAAAAAAGATTCTTTGCTATAAATCAAATAGATAATATACCTTTTGGACACCTTAATCTCTTCAAGCATGCACTTGAATCTCTATGCCAATTGTCACCAGGGATATTAATTAATAGTCAGGAACTGTACAAAGAATGTTTATCAATCTATTTACACAGTATCCTATACTTACAAGGTTGTAAGGCTTGCATCGCTCCTATATGTGTTTCTGAAGCAAATACGAGTAGAAGAAGAGAGTGTATCTTATTAAGCTAAGGATTAAGTGTGAGATGAAGATATGAAATTGCAGCAGAATAAACAGCATAAAACTTACATAGTATGTCTGCTACAAAGAGGTTCTTCAGGGTTATCAGTAAAATTGTTGTATGAAATGTCTATTTGGCTGAAAGCACAATTGTCATATTGTCAGGAGAATAATAATATGCTCAAAATAGCAATAAAATTAGCATGAGCAAATGAGTGTCATGCAATGTTGGCCAGCATTTTTACTACTAACATAAACTCGTGAAAATTCGAAACTCAATTGACAAAACCATGTTGTAGACAGACAGTTCTCTTTTGGTTCATCACATCATCTAGCAAACTAGTCCTCTGTCTCCAAACACCTTTAACACGATCCTTTATGGAGGGATCTGTATCACATGGGTTGAGAGTTTTTGTGGATTTACTAAAAAGAAATACATGAAGTTTATTTGTGAACAGAGGGAATATTAATTAAGGGTAAAGATTGTACCTTGTATCATCTGCACTTGCAATCCAGTTGGGAATAGGCCCATTTAGCATATTTCCTGTTAGATACCTAAACATAGCAAAAAATGGAATCATTATTACTTGCCAAAAGAAAATCTTACAAACTGATTCATGTCTGGTTCCCTTGACAGAAGCCAGACTTATGCTGCAAATAAGTGTAGGCTCCGAAGAAGGTACCACCAAACAAAGTCCAAAACACACTGTTGGATCTCTTGTGAAACATGAATGATTGACAATATTTAAGAGCATGAAGCTCACAGCATATACAGCTATGTCAAAGAGAGAAATCACAGTCCCCATCATTTGGCTTTCAGGTCAAACAATCCTTTTGGCAGTGTCGGAATCAATGGCATAATGGTAATTTTTTATTTATTTATTT